GAACGATGTTAGTGCTCTTGTAAATTTTGCGAAGGTGGAGAAAAAGTTAGTTTTTAAGTGCTGTAGTATAACTTTCAAGCATCCTACTGTAAACACATGCCTTTGATTATCCTGGTTTTGATATCGGCCATTGAAAATCTCATATTGGTCGACCCCTGGTGGAAACCATGTCCTTCTTAACCACTTGCCCCACCTGTTTCACACTATGCGGTTGCCTTTATCATTCCTGAGATTCTTACCCCTGCTGTAAACAAAAAGTGATACCATATCATGGTGAGGCCAGCACTTCTGAACTCATTTAGCATTTCCACATGAGAATTAAATCCTATTATCAAGTTTTTAAATTACAATTTGGGATAGATAGAATGGCTGATCCTTGTTTTATTATGATTCCACAAATAATTTATCTATTTTGTATCATAAAATGAAAGTGATGCATTCTGATCCTACTCAAATGGTGTTTTTTTTTCTCTACAAATATGATTCAAAAAGAAGAAAGAAAGAAAACTTGAAAAATGGGGCACCTGGTGGCCTGAGGGTGAGAGATGCTAACCTGGTCAATTGAGAAAAACCTATATTTATATATATATGCAATGTTTAAATAGACAATTTTAGATTAATTCGACAGTTTTACTGAAACCAAAGGGAAACTGCTTTCAATGTCTTTTGGTTTGCACTTTGTGACGTTTCTTTTTTTGGACCGTAACTCATTCCATCAGGAGCCAGTATGTCTCTGCAGCCTGGGATTCTGTTTATGTTGACATTTGCAATATCCATGATGGTTAGGAAGCTTTGGGAATGACATGATGTTGATGAGTATACAGTGTCAGCGGTTTCATTTAGTTCATTTTTCTGTGCAAACACCGACGCGTCTGTGTGCAGCGTAAACGTACAGCGTAGCCATCTCCTGCTGTGCATTGTAGGTGACAAAATAAGGTTTTGTTTGTGACTGTTTATGGCCTGGTGGGAGTATGGGGCACTAAATATATACATAGAATCTCATCATTAACCGCTGTCAGCAGCTGCTCTGGCTGGCTATTTTAAGCACTCTGATGTGTAATGTCAGAAGAGGTAATGCACTGAGCAGCATGATGTTTTTTTAACACTACAAGGTTCACCTGCCCAATTCCTTCACACATGTTTGCACACAAACCTTTCGTCTTGGGACCAAGAGGGGTATGTCCCAACAAGCATGCCCAGGCCATAATGACCACTCTCCAGCGGCTTCGTCCACTTTCAGCCCCGGTTGAATGAAGTAGTCAACAGGCCAAAGCCATAGTGAATAGCGTTTGAAAGTAGGTCAGACTTGTTCAGGGATATTGCTGAAACTGTGCCGAATAGAAAGGTTAATAAAGGTTATTGTAAACGCTGTTGGTTTTTTTTAAATATAGAATTAATTTCACCTTCTATTGGACCCATCAGCCTAATATTTTAAATTTATGATTGTATGCTCAAGGACCTTTCGTGGTTGTGGTGATTTCTCAATTTTTTTAACAACCTATTTTATTGACTGCACTGTTGAACGCCACCACTGACTGCTGACTCCTCACACCTCTTAACCAGCTGGTAGGGGCCACAAGTGATCAACAACTGCTTCAGTCTGGAATCTTGTTCCTGCTGATGGATTCTTTAGTTGGCTTTTTCACTTTGAAACTGACATTTTACGGTGCCTCCATATAGCTGTCTCCTCTGGGCACACATTGATAATGTAACGTGTTTATTGTCTCAGCCTCATTCCACTATATGCATGCATACATGCTGGACACACAGCCTGCCCTGCACTCCACACCCACATGCCCCCAGTCCATGATATTATGGCATGGCTTATAAATAGCACACCACTTTTAAGGACATTTCAGTGTCTTGTCTACACATTTTAAGCTTTCCGTGTGCCGTTTAGACACATGAGAGTTTTGGATGTGCAGGAAAGGATATTGAGGTGACCTTTTTGTTCATAATCATGATATGGTGATCTGCAACCAACTGAGTGCACTCTCCTGTTTTCGTTTTTACTTTGTTTCAGGTTTTTTGTTTTTGTATTTCTGGGTTTGTGTTCCGTAGTTAAATTTGCCGCATTTATGTGGTGATGAAAATTACCAGTATTTTTATGAAAAATGGTAAGTTAAGAACTGCTTCCTTCCTTTTAATAATGTGTTCCTGTTTTTCAATATTACCTCATTAGAGAAAGTGTTTCAGTTAACCTGACAGCCAATATTATAACACTTTAGTCTTTTAGACCTTTAGGCTTGAAATGAATTCCTGCAATCCAGGCTATACCACACTTTGAAACCTCCTGCTTTTATGTGCCCAGATAAACATTAAACATACAGTACAGTATATGGCTGCAACTAATGACTCTTTTCAACAATTAGTTGTTTGGTCATCAAGAAGTAAAAAAGGCCACTTCAAATTTCATGAAGCCCAAGATGATTTCATCAAGTTGCCCCAGGAATAGAAAAAGTTTAAATTATTTCATGTCACAAATGACTCAGAAAACCCAAATGTGACTGTCCACAGCCAATATTGTTCACACAAGCATAATATCAAAGTGGGTTTGTATTTACTGCCCTCTACTTCACATGTTGTCCTCTAAACACACATATCCATTGCCCATCTGTGCTACTTTGGCAATCATTACACATTTACACCCAAAGCAGGATGTCCTGTTCATGATACGCCATACTGAGGCAACAGATACACTCTTGTTTGAGCGGCATGCTAATGCTCTAGCTGACAGCTCTGACTGGTCATCAAGGCTCAGCTAATTTGTCAGTGAGATTTTTCTTTCTTTGGAAACACAGGCTCTCATCACTCTGACACCAGTTGATGGGGTGTTCTCTACAACTTGTGTGTGCCAATAGTTGTTGTTACACGGGTTGGTAATGTTAAGGTAGATCAAATGCTGTCACAAGACACTGCCACATGATGATCCACTGATAGCATAGTGTCATATATTTGTAATATTTTTAATGTCATAGTCATTTATTTGTTATTTCTGTTCTATCTGCATATTGTATGAACACAAGTAGAGTTGAATTTAAGCTTAAACCACATTCATTTAGAAAATAAAATAAAGATTTGATGCTGAAATCGGTTATTTAAAAAACCCTTGCCCATCATCACTACAAATACTGACACATACAGGAACTTTATTAACAGCTAGTATGTTGATTTAACTTCATGGTAGAATTAATTAATAATTAAAAATGTTGAAAACAGTAAAAACATGATATGCTATTCCTCTAGAAGAATTGTGAGTATTGCTATACCAGTCATGATGGGATTTTGTGAAATTCATTTGAACCATGATCACAAAAATAAGTACTTAACCAATACAGCAAATAACAAAAAAGTTGTAAAGAATATTGTCGCCTATGTTCAGTGTTAGTCGTTTTGTTGCCTGTTTGATGATGTTGAGTATTACTTATTATGTTGCCTATATTTAAATATGTTCAATGGTAGTTATCTATTTAAGCAAATTCTTGGTATTTTAAAAAACAAAATATATACTGATAATGAAAGAGCCCGACTATTTTGGGGGCGGAAATGTACACCTATACATTTGTTATGCAATGTCTTATAACCTTTGGCTGCACATCTTAAATAGCCATAGTGTAGCAACTCCCAACATGACAACATGACAGAACACAGTAGGGGTCCTGACAGACCAGAGTAATGCACAGATCATATACACTGGATCGGAATTAGCGCCAACACTTACGTAATGAAACGGAGAGGGAGTCCTGGCCACATGTAGTTGAATCACAATGAATAATATTTTTTAGTCACTGAAGGAATATAACTTTAGCAACACAATTTAAATAAAAAATACAGTTAAAATGTATTTAAAAATTATAAAATACAAAAAGTATGTTGATAAACAGTATGACTAATTCTGTAGTTGTAGTTGATGTTGCACACTGAGGAATAATTGTAATTAGTTCCACTTAGCAAAGTTCACAGGTTGATATCAGCCCACTTCCCGTAGTAAAAGTCCTGAAATCAATGTCAGAAAGTGTTTTAGGACTATATGCATCTCTGTCATGTTGGTTCAGTATGAGCTTCATGCCTTACATTTCTTCTCTCTATCTTTTTCTGTTCCAGGTGCCAACCAAGTTTCGCCTTCTAAGAAGCCTCGCAGTAGAGGCCTTCTCCACAGTCTCTTCTGCTGTCTGTGTCACAAAGAATCAGAGCCACCTCGACTAAAAAACAATGCCCCCCTCTTGGTAGAAGAAAATGGGACTCTGTCAAAAGTAAGTTCATCTCTCAACATCCTTCTCACACTCTTTCTTGTGATATCAACTTCCTCCCACCCTCCCTCTTTAGAATCCTTTAGCAGCATGTGGTCAGCATGATTGACAGCTGTTTGATGCGTAAAACGCATGTTTTCTTGGCTCGGAGCTTTTGGTGTTTACAAGACTATCTCCCCTGGGCTGGGAAGTAATGTATGGCAGTGTTGAAAAGTACTCTATGTTCAGACATCAATCAAGATGACTTGGAGTCACAAGAAGGGGCTGGAAATGGTGTAAATGTTACAGAGATGGAAATCCAAGAATGACTACTGTAGATGCCAGGAGGCATACACCATACACTCTGAGCAAGAGGCCCTTTGGCTTACAGCGTAAAAATATAAAACAGGATTCATAAGGGTTTATTAAAGAAACTTGATAAATTATTAACTAATGCATTAATTAATAAGTAGAGAATTTCTGGGTAAAACTTGTGAATGGTGCTTGATAGTTCTGTCGTCACTGTTGGACAATTGACAACACTGCCTATGGTTAAACTGAGCATATTCTTGGAAAACAACATGACTTTTGGCAGTTATGGTCTGAAGATCAAGTGGTAAAGACGTTCTCAGGTGTCAGTTTCAGATTATTGCCTTGGTTCAGCCTTTTATAGAGATTTGATATTCCAGAAGTTATTTGTCACGTCTTTCCAAGCCCCCAAAATAAATTGCTTGGTCTCTGGCAAGGGGGGGTTGAGTCAAGTGGTAGGCTCAGTTTTGGTTGTGACAACCTGTCGTGTCAACGTGCATGCTGCTCCTGTTGCTGTTACTCTCTTGGGCGGGCTGTGGTCTCAGTGACTCCCCCCACCAGCCATGTGAATATTCACTCTGAATGGACCCTACAGTTACCTGACAGTCATTTGGACTTGGACTCTGCAGGATCTGGAACCAATGCATGGAGTAAAAACTTTCAACAAACAAAGTCCAGACTGAGAAATAATTTCCTGATGTATTTGGAAAACTCTGAGCAGAGCAAAGTCTCTGGGGAAAGGGAGCCGTCTACTGAAGTCATGCTTGCTGAACAATGCCAGGTTCCCAAATTAACAGAAGCTGCAGGTTTCACCAGCCCTTCAAAGGGAAGTGCTGAACTTGGCATAGAGGTGCTTGTGGAATATACTGAGCAGACTGTTGTCAGCAGAGACATTAACCCTTCTATTCTTTGTGTGGAAAACTGCAACATGAATAGAGATGACACTGAATCCTGCACATACTGCAATGGACACTCTGAGAACTTTGAGCAATACTCAGCAAGTGAAGGATTTTTTGAATCCAACCAGACCGTTGATAAGTGTGAGACTTCTGGGTTAAGCCAACCACTCGATGAATGTGCTCAACACTGTGAGTGTTTTAAACCTTGCAAGTCCTCTGAGCACTGTGCTAATCATAGTTTAGCTTCCAAATGTAGTCCTTGCTGTGAACATTGTGCGGAACACCTCCAATTATTTCAGCAATGTAAGCCCTCTGATCAGCAGTTTGACTTTGAGCCAGATAAATTGGCAGTGAACTGTGACAGTTTTGTGCAGTGTGAAATGTCTGATTTCATACCTGAGTGCTCAGACGACCTCGAGTTGTTGCAACAATACAAGCCTTCTGATCAGCAGTGTGAGTTCTTTGACTCTGAGCCAGACACATCAACAGAGGACTTTGAGCAATGTGAAATGACTGGTTTCACACATAACAACTCTGATTCAGAGGACTTATTGGACTGTGGCACTGAACTTTGTGAGTATGATGAAATTCAGAATCAAACTGATGACAGTGAAGAGAGCTATCCACCTGAACAAGAGGACGAGCAACATGAAACAGAGCCTACTGATGAAGAGTCCTACAGATTGTCAGAGGGTATAAATTCATCACATTTTGACGCACCTGCTCATGTTTATTTTGATGATAGTGAAGATGTCTCCTTTGCAAGTGAACGCTGTGAGACACCCCTGCTCACTGAAGAAAGCTATCAGCAAGCTAACATGTCCACAGATTACTGTGAAACTGTGTGTGAAACTGATTACCCTGAGGCAAGCCAAGAGTCTGAACCAACCCAACAATGTGGTATTTCAGAGCAGTGCAACTCTGACGAGACCTCAGAGTTTTGCACTGAAGAAGACGGCTCCTCAGACTGCTCTTCTATTGAAACCAAATCCTTTAAGACTTGTCCTGATGACAGTATTCCTTCAGATCCCTTCTCTGATTCATCTGGGGAATCTGAGAAAGGAGCTCAGGAAGATTCAAGTGATGAGCAGACACAGTGGGAATCGTTTGAAGATGATGAAGAAACAGAGCAAAGCACTATTAATGAAAGTCATGAGGATAAAAAGAAAACGCCCACTGTTGAAGTTGTCATTGAGGATTACTTTGATTTATTTGACAGAGCTGACTATAACGGACACGCATTTTCACAAAAGCGGCATTACATCTCCTGCTTCGATGGGGGAGATATCCATGACAGCCTGTATCTTGAAGAAGTTCATTCAGAGGCACAGAAACTTGCCAAAAATGCTTACAAATATAAAGACATTAAAGAGGAAATTGACATACAGGAAACTGATACATGTTTTGATGCCTCTGAAGAAGCCTGTGAAGATACTGATGAGGAAGACGCAAGTCCGAGAGATGATACGTCCTCTGGGTCCTGTGAGTCAGAGAAACAATATGAAGACTGGACTGTAGAGTCACAGTCAAGTTTAGATGAGGATGAAGTTGAAGAAAATGAATCTGAAGCCTATGCACTTTATGCAGAAGATTGTGAGGAAGCAGAGGAGAAGGAGGATGCTTTTGAGAGAGAAGCCTGTGAGTTTGACAGCCATGTTTCTGAAATCTGTGATGAAGAAGAAGCTGAGGTCTGCCTGACGTCTAGTAATGGGGAGAATATGTATGCGCCATGTGCAGATGACATCTCCGTTGAAGGAGATGCTTATGAAGATAAAGTCTCTGATACTCTTGGTGACAGTACCTCTATGGTTGGTCATTTACAGACAACTCTTACTGATTGCAAAAAGGAGGACAAAGAGACAAATGAGCCTGAGCCTGAAGACGAAGTGTTTACTGCATGTTCAGAAATTGAGCCATATTTTTCATTTGTAGATCATGAGGAAAATGGAGAGCAAAGCGTTGAAGAATACTTTGCATATCAGATTCAAAGCATTCAGTCATCTGTGAAACAAGCCCTGAATGGATTTATTATGGGAGGAAGATCGCACAATCAGATAATCCATGAAGAAGCAAACGGGGATGCTTGTGGGAATGAAAGAGAAGATGCTATTTTATCCCCGAAAGAGACTGAGTTACAGGAACATGCCCAGAGGAGCCCAGAGGAGGGCAAAGCAGTCCGATTTGGAATTACTGAAATTATTGAACTGAGTGAGAATTTTGCCTACTGTTCTGCTGTGGAAAAAACAACCAATGAACAAACTGCGGAATCAGACGATGACTGTGGATTCAGTGAAATTTCAAGAGAAATAAAACCTCCTTTAGATATTATTCACAGCGTTGTCCCAGAAATTGCAAAAAATGAGGGAAGGGATTCACACAACAAGGACTCCGAACAAAGCAGGGATTCAGAAGAGGAGCAGAGTGACGATGAATCCTCTGAGCCTTGTGAATGCGAGTACTGCATTCCACCACTAGAGCAGGTATTATACGTCTTTGCACCTCAGCTGAGAAGTATTTGAGTAGATTTAATTACGTTTTTGGAACTATGGGAGAAACTTTGAATTACCCCAGAATCAATATTATATCGGTCTATTTTTATATCATTAAGACTGTACTGCCAACTGTGGCAGTGAATACGTTACAGGAGATCCCAACTTGGCAGATTGTGTGGTATCTGTGTCAAACTCTAGCTCTGCCATTATCCTCACGTGGTGGCAGTTCACTCACCACAGACAAACACATGCATCAGTGTTACAGGCAGCCTGTTTGTTCATTCCAGCTTGTTTATAGCATCAGAATTGCAACAACAAACACCGATCCCTGACCACTTGTTGAATGATGGAGCGCAATATGGTGATATTTACATGCTCCGTCATCATGGCAGCAGCTGTAGCATCCAAGGTTTCCTGTAACCTGTCACTGAAACACTACAACACAATTCAGTCTCTTAAGTAACAATAAACACACTCGCACACAATGAGCTGTATGTCCTACACGACAAATCGAGATGGTAATTTCTCATGTTAAAAGTAATAAAAGCTGTTTAATTTGGAGCATTTCCAATAAATGAGCTTTAGGTCTTAACTCTCCTTTCGTCCACAGGTTCCAGCCAAACCGTTGCTCCCACGGATGAAATCGAATGATGCAGGGAAGATCTGTGTTGTCATTGATTTGGATGAAACACTAGTGCATAGTTCATTTAAGGTAAGTTGACCTATGTGACTTACTTTCTCAGTCCTATTATATTCTGGGATCATTGACAGATTAATAATCACAGACATCATTAAATACGGTATACTTTCAAAGAGGTAATTTCAGTGTCAGCTTATCTAAAATAAAAGTAAATAAATCATTTTCCTTTCAGTGGGAGTGCTGTCTACCTAATATTTTAAAGGGATTTTGTGTTGGATATTGATGTGGTTATAGCACTATTCAGTTGTTCACATTGACATTACTGGTGGAAAAATCTGCAATTTGTGTGGTGCTTTCAGTCCATTCATCTCAACAGGAATTTCTTGTTATGAAAGCCAATAACGATTATAAATTGAGAATGAGAATTCTCATGAGATTAAATGCAGTCTGTAGATACCAGGCAACCAGCAGAGACTCCAAAAAGTTATTGCTCCTGAACAAGAGTAATCCAGCACATAATCATTTGTAAAACCACAACTTCATTCAGTTTTACACTATGGTTTTTGTACAGAATAAAAGAACAAGGTGTTTTAAATAGTGAGCTATAAAGGTGCTGGTTTTGTAATCTTGAACAGTCTGGCTAGTTGTTTCCACCTGTTTTCAGTTTTGTGCTGAACTAAACTAACTGACTGTAGCGTCATAGTCACCATAGAAACATGATATTGATCTTCTCAACTATCTCTCACCAATAAAGAAAATAACTGCATTTCCAAAAATCCCCAAAGCTATTGCTTCAAATGTGATTTACCGCGGTGTGGAGATGTTTATGGGAGAGAAACATGTCTGCAATCAGTACAATGACGCTCAATGACATTTGGATTATGGTTAAGAGCCAATTTGTTATAAATCAAAAGCAGTTGTTCACTTTGAGTTTATGTTTTTAATTCAAAATAAGTTTTTATGGACTTGTTCTCAGTGTAACACAAGTCTTTGTACTGTAGTGAGTGACGACTCTCAGAAGGTATTGCTCTCTTGTAAATGTAGTCTGTTGGCAGCCTGAACACTATCATCCTAATGCCTTTTAGCTACACTGTATTAAGTTAATAGGAGGTGTCATTACAGCAACAAATTCAAGGTTATTGGGATCATACCAAAACTATCTGAATGGATATACAGTATAGTATCCTTGTTAACTATAACTGTTAAGCCTATTTTCAGTTGATTGACAGTTGACTTCATACATTTTTAACTCACTTCTGTCTAATGAGTTTCTTAATCCCCTATTTCATTTGGACTAACTGGTTTTTATAGCCTGTTTTATACTCTTGGCCTTTAATTACTTAAAATATCAAATAGCAGGGAGACTCTTGTAGGGTATCTGCCATTAGGCTTCCATATAGACTGTCAAAGCAAACAATTTACTTGCCAAGCTGAAGGCAAAAATAGCAATAGGATTTGCACTACATAATTTTGCATATTTTTAGGAGGCACATGACTTATTTTTATCTTAAAGGACTGGGCTCATGTGCCACCTAAACATTAACCATGTATTTAATGGGTGCTCTGGTTTCATGATGCAGAACCCAGCTGAGCTCTAAGTCCAAGTGAGATCAAAAACCAGTAAAATCAGATTTTTAAGAACGAGTATTAAATTGCAAAAGACAAAGAAATGTTCAGCTGTTAACTTTAGTGTACCATCAGGTCTGAGTAAATATGCCTCAACTTATCAGCAACCACTTTTCAATTCAAACTTGAGCAATTTATAAATAAATACTGTACGTTCATGTAGAAAAAATACAACTATGCGTCTTTTTTAATAGAATCTCTGCACAACATCATTTGGAAAACTTGTAACTCAGTCAGTGTTAATATGATGTAAGTAAAGATTTCAGACAGTGTATTCAATTCTACATTGTTCCCACAAATAACTGGCAACCTTTTTAATCCGTTGGATGCCTTTTAAGGTAGCATTCAGTGAACAAAGTAATCAATGCCAAAAGTCAAGGCTCCTGTGTCACGACAAATTATGTAATGAATGCCATGTGGTGTTTAGTCCTTCTCAGGTCACAGACTGTCCTAAAGGATGTCACTGGATATTGCCACTAGCTATGTGTAAACAGGGTCAGACTCTATGAACTCCATGTTTAACACAAGGTGGATAATAAAACTCATTATTACTTTGACACACATACTAAATATAGCATTAGAGGAATGCCAGTGTGCTGTGTGACCTATTTTCTAATCTTTTAGAATGGAAAATATTTAATTTCAACTAGATTAAAACTGGATTAAATGAAATCAATGCATCTATAAAAATGAGTGGCTCAATAGTCAACTATTTATATTACACTGAAGTCATCATACATTAATCAAACCTGGGTCAGCTTCTATAGCAGGTCAAGTCCACCCTTTTTAAAAGGTGGCCTAGTTCTTACAGTTTAACATTACCCATTTTGAATAGTTCAGGAAAGAAAAGCTCCATTTCTATGAGAATCCATTAAAAACTGGTCACATTACCAATACTACTCTCCAGTAAAAATAGAGCAAATATGTCAACCGATACAATATGTACTTTTTTATATTCTAACCACCATACAGAATTGTAAGCAGAAAAAAAAAGCTAAACATTTCACTTTAGTATTGCTCATCAGTGGCATCATTCTGGACCACAATTAAAATATGGCTTAAAGATTATAAGCCATAAAGATTATAGTACAACAGCAGAACTCGACATTTATACTCATGAGTGCCTTTAAACAAACGTGATCAGCTTAATCATCCCTCATGTAAAAATATTTACTTTTAAAATAAAATGTAGCACTTAAAGGATAAGTGTGTAGGATTTTGTGGTATAGCAGTGTAGTGGCAGATTGCAACTCACTCGCTTCCCCCTCCCCTTCCAAACACAAAGGAGAAACTACAGTGCCAAACAAGTGAAAAATGCAAACGGCCCTATCTAGAGCCAGTGTTTGGTTTGTCCGTTCTGGGCTACTGTAGAAACAGTTCAACATGGCAGGCTCCATGGAAGGCGACCTGCAGCATTTGTAGATATAAAAGGCTTCAAAATTAACAAAGACCTAACAGTTCTTATTTCCAGGTGATTATACAGTAACAAAAAAAACATACCTATAAATATTAAATTCCATTTCTGTCAATACATCCTCCTAAATGTTACACACTGGACCTTTAATAACTTGCAAATTGAATGTTTTAAACCTTTTGTAATAGATCACAGGACACAAATCAATTATAAGTAGGACAAGTGCAACTAGTTGATAGTTGACACACATGGAATTGACTTGACAGACTTAATTTGGGATGTGTATTTGAGGTGGCCTTTTTAAGTATTTAGGTTAAGACAGTAGATATATAATTTAAAGTAAAATCAGAATAATTAGAGTAGGAAAAGATGATTCTAAGAAATGGTAAATGAATGCAAGAAAGCATTATTTGTCCTTGAAGTAAAACAAAAAAACAACAGCAAAAGAAAGACAGTGTGTTGCAGCGGTTGCTCAGCCCACAAGCTCACATACACACTACACAGTACTGGCTCACACTGAGAGGATGGAAATTGAGAAAGGCCGTGAGTAGCTAGAAGGCAAAGAGACCAGAATTGGTGGATCAAACCACAACTAAAATGGAATGAAAACTGGATTAGCATTTGGACTGATGGATTGACAAAATGTGCTATAGTCTGAGTTCAACATGTTAATTCCACACATTGCATGGAGATTCTGACAAAAAAACAAAATAAATTTTTAATGAATTCCCATTTATTTGTTATTGAAAGGCACCAGCGGGTGCAGGGCAGAACATTAACCAGCATGTAACATTGGGGAAAAAATACTGCATTCTCAAACTTTCTGTTTATGATTGATGGTAAACTCGTTCTGTCTTACTTGCACTACCTCATAGTATATGAATTTAGGCCGCAGTGGCATGCCTTTATATAGATTGGGGCGATACTAACATTCGAGAAGCATATTTTCAGGTGTGAGACCTGCCTATATAAATCATATATTTTTATGAGCCATGTCACTTTCTGTAGTGCCTATATTCAATGATGGAAGTCACAAGAGTCATATTATTTACAGTGTTGTGTTATTTAAAAAACTGTGAGGTGGCGCCTTCATGTCTATTTGACACATCCCCGCTTCAGATTTGTTGCTATCACTCCCACCTCTATGAGAAGATGTTGATTTAAAATGAAGCATATTGTTGTTGTTTTTGTGTGTTTAACACTCCTACTTTTGTTTTCAACAGCCAGTGAACAATGCTGACTTTATCATTCCAGTGGAAATTGATGGAACAGTTCACCAGGTAGGTTAAGACCATTTGCTGTCCTCTTATGTTGCTTCAATCACCACAATGTCAGACTGATCAAGTTTGGGAAGTTTCCCAAAGCTTTCTAGACTTTCTGCTGAAAGCCCCAACAATTTGTGTATGAAACAGGATTGATACAGAGCACGATCATTGTACTGTATATACTGTATCACACACTAGCAACCAAAATCTGTTCTTTATACCATCAGCCCTGAACAGTAGGATGCTTTATGAAATCTTATGGATTCTCAAATACAAACGTATGGAGTAAAATCCCAAAAATCCCACATGCTGGCTCCAGTTTGCACTGGTAACACTGTGCTAGCACCCTGACAGTGCTGTGGCCCGCTCTGTTGACGGCTCCAAGCAGCAGGTGGCTATTTCCATGGCCTGACGAAATGAGGAAACCCTGGCAGGCTTCTCAGAAATCACTGGCCATCAATCTCACTCTGTGGTGTATATTATGCCCTTCTTATTGGTGCTGGGGAATGGCAGTGACTATTCCCTGCAGGCGTTAAATGGTAACTGCAGTCTGTTGTGCTGGGCCTCCCAGAAGACAGCGGAGCTTTGTTGTCCAAAGGGCCTGGGTCTGTTTCAAGTAATCCAGGATAGGCTTATTAAAGTGGGGAAGGCCTATTCGGGATGACTTGGTTCAGAAACAAGGCCGCCAGCATCTTAGTGGAAGTAGATAATATATAAAGTCCTGTTAGGGTGTACACATGGAGTGTTATCGAATTCAATATTACAGCTTTGTCCTTTCTTTTGGATTATTCAATGTCAAGAGTTATTAACATACAAAATAATGTTAATGGTAAAGAAAATCTTTGCTCACAGTGAGTAACAGTGTAATTACTCCTTTTCATCCAATATAACATCTTGATAATGACAGAACAGTCGTGTTTGGAGATATTATAATATATAATATATGTTTTATTACATTAAAAAGCCTAAATCCGCTCTGGTAGACGCCTATTGTAAGTGTAGCTACTGAATGTGCCAATATATTTTTGTCTTAAGAACTTCTGGACTCACAGGTCAGAAGTAGGATTTCCTTTCTATATATACATTACCCCCTTAAGTAGTTTAAGTTCCTGATCATATCCCAACTGTGGATTTCATACTCGCATGCCTTTTGTGTCTCCCCCCAGGTGTATGTGTTAAAGAGACCCCACGTTGACGAATTCCTCAAGAGGATGGGAGAACTGTTTGAGTGTGTTTTGTTCACTGCAAGCTTATCCAAGGTGAGACTGCTGTTCCTCATTTTGTGTAATTTATGATAAAATGTGCCTGATCAAAGCAGGCGGGCTGGCGCTTTGCAGATGGACACAAACAGGCTTGATGTAGAAAGTGGCACCTGTTGTTGTAAAGCGTTATGCTTACTGGAAGACCAGCGTGTCCTTTCACATGCACCCTCACACACATAAAGATATTTATGATACCTGTCAAGCGATTGCGCAGACATTTTAACCTCTAACATTTACTCAGTGTCAACCTTTGTTTTAACTTTGTGAAGTACGTCGTCAGATATACGTTTTGTTTGTTGTTGCTGGTCTTTTGAAGAATGTCTAAGCTTGCAGATATGACTTCTCTATGGTTGATACATACTGTATGTTCCTGCATTATTTACAACTTGAGATTATTGCCCCCAATCAGCCAAAAAAATCAGTTAATGCAGCTATACCTCTAACATAAAAATCAGTTTTTTTTGCCTCATTAGGAAATACTAAAACGTACATTGTTACTTTATTTCTGCCATTTAGTTCAGCAGTCTGTGTCTGTGTGTTTTGTTGCTTTTAAAAGGTAAAATGTGTGTGTACTTTCTCCCACAGGCAGTTTGCACTTTTACTCATCTCAGTTATTTAGCCTTTGTCATAAGCCATGTAAAATAGCCATAAAATATCATACAAACATTGTTCAGCGCTATTTAAAGCCTGGTCCTGCTTCCCCCCCCTCCCCCTTTACTATAGTACGCAGATCCTGTGTCGGACCTGTTGGACAAATGGGGGGCCTTTCGGAGCCGTCTCTTCCGGGAGTCATGCGTCTTCCACAAAGGGAACTACGTAAAAGACCTGAGCCGTTTAGGAAGAGACCTAAACAAGGTCATCATCATTGACAACTCGCCAGCCTCCTACATCTTCCATCCCGACAACGCAGTATGCTGCTTTTATTTATTTCTCTGCAATACACTGAAATACATGTGATTAAAGGACACTCAGTGGTTGTTCACTAAAATCTAAAATATTACTCTTTTGCTTTTAAGACGTTAATCTAATAATTGTATAATATTAAATACTTTGGAATATTAAAAAGGTCTTCTAATTCCACTGTGTCTTGTTTCTTCAAACCTCCAGGTTCCAGTAGCGTCCTGGTTTGACGACATGTCAGACACTGAGCTCCTCGATCTTATCCCCTTCTTTGAGAGACTAAGCAAAGTGGATAACATCTATGATTTTCTCACGCAGCAGAGGACATCAAGTTAACAAAGGCAGGATACTAGGATGAAAATAATCACCAGCAGCTGTCGTCACGGGGCCACGGAGGCTGGTGGGCCACAGGCTCCACGCTGCTTCCAACTACAAGGACCACACTGCAAAAAATGCCTGTCATTTAATCTCGTATCTAATCCCAGTGACAGATTTTCTTTCTTTTTTTGTAATACTAGATAAAGACTGAGTATGAGATTCAATGACCTCTGTAGATATCTTTTGCAGTGCAGCTAGTGTGTTGTTGTTGATATGTGACATCAGTGATCTCTCTAAGTGTGCTGTAAACCTAGATTGTGTGAACAGTTGTTCAGTGCCATTCTACAAATGAACCACATCAATCATTTTCATGTTAGTACAACGTAGCATTTGTAATAGTATTTGAAGCTCTCACACAGAACATAACAAGTCATTGACAACTGTCCCTTAAAGCAACATTATGCAAGAATTGGTGGTTTTTTGCAATTTGGCAAACAGATTTGTGGTGGGGGGAGGGGGCAACTCTCCCGGTGCTCTGAGGTCCCGGTGCTCTGAGGTCCCGGTCCCGGGCACGTCTAGCTGCACGGCTAACTGAGAAAAGTAACTAATGAGCGCTACAGTTAGCAGCAGTAAGTGTTAGGAAACTTATTTGGAGTTATTTTCTCTATAAGATACTATCCAGTTTCACCAAAATCAGTTGTACAGTAATCAGTGAGGCCCGGATCCCAGAAACACTCTCCAACCTTTATTCTTGTTGCATTTGTGGTCTGATAAATAGTAAATTCATCCATATCAGTGCCCTATTTGACCATTTTCCAAGCTACTGCGGCTGTCGTATTTCAGGGGGACCCGCATGAGCGTCGAGTAGTTTGGAAAAACAATAGACACACACTGAGAATACCGAGCTAGCTTCTTGTGGCTGAAGACTAGTTATGGTGTGTGGTGTAGTGCAGTGTTAAGCTGTTCATGCCGTACATTGTAGCTGGTAAACCCATGTTACATAGTGCAAGAACAGGGGTTCAGGGCACCAAGTGAGAATGAAAGACCTTTCTCCCTATTACCAGTCAGTGTAGCATCAAAATGATTTTTGAAGCTGCTAAAATAGTTGCATAATGTTGCTTTAAATCCCATTAACTTACTTTTTTTTTGCCTAAAATGGCCAAATGTGTATGTAGTGAAAGACAATCATTAACTTTAGACAATTTTGGTTTAATAACATATGTAACATGTGACACATATCACTACAAAACACACTTTTTTGAAACACTGTGTGTGGAAGGAATTTGGTTTCAAAAACATACTATATACTTCAGCTTCTGCATTTAGATTGATTACAGGTTATTTATAAGGTTTAATCACTAAATTCTAATATTATTGGAATCTAATTATTAATGTGTAATAACCTTTTTATATGTTGTTTTACGCCCAGTTCAGCCACAAACCACCATCGTCTTGTGATTCATTAGTTGTCCTCATACTTGCATCCCAACAAATCTTGAAAAATACATATACAGTTACATCTGGATCAGGAGCATTAAGAAAACAGATCGACTGCACACACATCGGACCTTTCACACCACTGGGGAAATGGTGAGATCATTTTTGTACATACAGTATATCAGGATTTTAGGCAACCGTTTTGATTTGGTTTTAATGTTATTTTACCTAATGTTATTTTACCTTTTAAGTTTTTAGTTGAATTGGCCACCACAGTGTGCGGCCCATCAATATTGCAATACTGTTAATGTGCGCTGGAGGGGGCTGTAACCTGCTATAGCCCCTTGAATAACTTTGACGTTTGATCTGAAAGCATACTTTGATGCCTTCTGTCGGTAAACTTGAATCCGAGCTGTTTCATGTAAGACATTAATGCAGTCCAAATGTACTGCCTTATCGATCTGTTTATTCAGTTTCACAGGGGAAACTTGTACCAGACATGTTCGAGCCCCGATCGACTTTGTCTCAGTCTGGAGCGAGTGTGTATATTTGTATGTGTGCGTGTGGGTTTGAGTGTGATTGCGTCAGTGTGAGTATTTACATTGGTTTAAGATTTTAAAAAAAGATACTTTGACAATACGTGAAAAAACATAACCTGTCTTTAAATAATGATTTAACTTTTTTACTGTATGCAACAAGAGTATTAACGTTGTGACTCAAGTTAAGAAACTGGTTCAAGTTTAGTTTTTGGAGTTTTTAAATTGCTGCTGATAAATGTTAAGATTGAAAAAAAAGAACAACCAGAGATATTTTTACCTTGCATCAATAAAGCATGTTTTATTGAAACAGGTCATATTTCACTACAGATTCTTTTTTCACATACCTAACGCTCAACACTACTACATGGCAGAGGTGGAAACAAATGGAAAAATGGAATATGGAACAGATTTCATATGAAAACAACTATCATTCTCCGTTAAGTTCAAACATAATATCCACTCAACAATAAAACTAGCACGCCCTGATTATCATTCAAGGTGATCAAGTAATTTGTTTAACATATTTCTTTCCTAGATTACCTGATTTTGGCCCAATGTATTTTCATTACAAGCCCCTTGCTGCAAGACAGAACTTTCTTCATTCAAACTTGAACTTCAGGTTTCATCAAAACATAAAAAAATGTCTATACAATGGACAAATGATGAAAAGACATTAATTGTTAAATGTAATTAGTGAGTCAACTGTTGCTTGGACGATCCTTTCTAAAGCCTGAAGCTAAATGTAGATTTGAGATGGATATGTGGCCGTTGAGTTCTCTATGTGGTAATACCTGATACTGGTGTTTGAGTATGCTCACTGTTACAACAGCCACACAAAACCATGCTCTGATATATGGGGAAATTACACTGAGTGCAAATCAGATAATACTGCATAGAAAATTGCACAATTACACATGTAGTCTGTAAGTCTCTTCTGGTGATGGATATAAGTATGTCTACTGCTTTCATTCATTCTTGGATTATGCTTAATAGAAAAAAAACAAAACACCATCAACCAATTATTTTGAGGCACCTGGAGCCGAATCTAAGTTGTTTTTTGACAAGTTTTATAATGCCACAAGCAGGTTGTGTGGACAAGATCAGATCAGACAATTATACATTTCAAAGATTTTCTTAGCCCTAGAAATGGCCCTATTAAAATGTCTCTTAACATGCATTGTGGCTGGGTTGCATTCAAACTACTGTTTGCAAAGCTGACCTCACACTTCACTTGTTTCATGAATCAAACCATATTTTTTTCCCACTAGTGAAGTCCTTTGAGCTTTACAGTATTCAACATTTATTGTTACAAATACACATCCAGCTTAAACCTCCATAGCACGGTTACAGTCAGCTCACTTACACACAGGATATCATTTACATACAAACTGCAAGTTGTGTTATGATAAAGGAACTGTTTCTTCACACACTCACTATGACACATTTTATATGAACAGAAATTGAGTTCCTTATATGCAAGTTACTGAAAGAAAATCCACTCCCTGAATTAATTGAACTGCATGAAAATCCATCACAACCCTGTTTAAACCACTTTTTTTTAGACATACTGTTTTTAAATATAGAAGCAATGTCAATGGTACAATGTAAAAGCATCAATGTAATAATCAATTCATGTCAATTAGGCGATGACAGATGGGAGATGTCACTCACGGATCACCTGTGAAATTTGAGCAGAGAAAGAATTAGACTGAGGACCAGAGAGCATCAGTCAACATGTCTGACCTTATTCTGTCAAAATGTACACCTGCCTTGTGTGACCTCCACAATAGCTGGTTTTTATTAAATATTTTCATATATTAGAGCTTAAAATCTGCTGCTAATAACTAACAAGGATTATTCCAGTAAGACTGAACTCTTATAGTTAAAGCCAACCTTTTTGCCTTGTGACCCCTTAAAATAAATCGGTGTCTACTTGAGACCCCTGAGTTATGGCCGTAGTGTGGACAGCTGTGAGTAGCTCCACCAAAGAATGATTTTCCCTTTTCAGATTGTTTAATTTGAATGATTTTAAAGGTCTGAAGAGCTGAAATGATCCAGTAGTTGACAAGGGAAAGGCAAAATGTTGAAGAAAAGTCCGAAAAACCTTCAAAGATTTGTTTCACCATCCCAAAAATGTACATACTTCATAGGGCCCAATTGTAGCTCTATCTAATTTAGTGTCTTCCCCATTGCTAGTGATTATAGTATGTAGACTAGTGGTGAAAGAAGAACTCTTTTTTTCAACTAAAATAAAAAGTAGTAATACCACAGTGTACAAATACTAGTAAAACTCCTGAATTCATAATATGACGTTAGTAAAAGTACTAATCCTAAAAGTACCAAAAGCTAAAGTACTCATTATGCAGAATGGCCAATTTCAGAATTATTTGGATTATAAATATTGATGCTTTGATGTGTTCAAGACTTTAATGTTGCAGCTGGTAAAGCTGGAGCTCATTTAAATTACTTAGCTTGACCCCAAGGATCAATATAGTTTTACTTCATCTTAACTTATACAAAAATACATCATTATCATTTATTTGTTGATTATGTTTTGCATTATTAATATGAATCTGCAAAGTAACTGAAGGTATCAAATAAACTCAAATAAAGCACAAGTAACCTCAAATTTGTCCCAAATAACAGCACATGTTACATGAGCGAATGTGCTTGCTTACTTTCAACCACTGCCTATGATTAATACATCACATGGCGGTAAGAGTTTTCCTAGCTGAGCTTGAGTCCTGGTTGTGCTGCACATCGCCCTTTAAAACCAAATGAATTCATGACAGGTTTACTACCTCAGACAGATGATTGAACATAATACTCTTTCGTTTAAAGCCAACATAATAAAACTATAAATAGTTTACTCTCCTACAGATTTAAGTAGTTTGAGAAGGTTCTGTGGATATGTGCTCTCTATTGCTTGACCTACATGCTTGCGGATAGAGTAAGACCATAAACACCTTATATCATTTACAGAATGCAGCAGCCCAGGAGCCAAGACATGCACTGTATTTATTGCTATGTGCTGCATGTGCAGTGCCAAGTCATGCAACACAGTTTAACACACTATCTTGACAATTCAGAATCAGTCTGAAGCATTTATGTTAGTTTTTTCTTTTGTGCTTCTTCTAAAGCGAAATTGTTTTTTAGTTGATGCGTTTGATAAATAAGAAACTGCATTAAGTAGCTTTCGATAACTTGAGAGTACATTGTTCCACTACATCCACTACCTGTGATGTTTCTTTAGTCATATGGGCAAATGCAAGGCTTTGTTATTGCCTCCATCTAGTGGTTGGTTTCTGAATTACATCCCTTCAGCTGGTCAGCCCTAACAGTGGCATGTTCCAGGACAAAAAGTAAATAATGGAATACTTAGAACTATATATTGTGGGCTGTTATCATGTTTTAATATTATATGCATGGTAGTCTGTTATATGAAAGCATTTTGATATATTTGTGAACAATTCGAAATTATGTTGCATAACAAGATAACACTTTGGTAACTTGAAAATGCATAATAATACATTTAAACAGTTATTTCAGTGGAGGAAAAAAAAGCCCTACAACTGCTACTTCTTTTACTTACTCAGTACCCGCAGCTGGGCTCTGCTTTTTGCTTTCCCAGAGGTGAACTCCACCTCTCCATTCATGTCAGGGGAGGTTTGTCTGAAGGTCAGCCTGTGCACTGTGCCCATCTTCTCCAGGCGTACCCGAGAGCTCGACTGTAAGGGCTCCCCATTCAGACTCCACACAGGTGCTTTGAGGACAGGAACCGAGACCTCACATTCAAAGCAGGCTTCATCAGGGGCCATGACCTCCACATCCTTCAGCTCTTGGACCATTAACAGAGACTCGGCTGAGTCAGTGCACAAAGGAGAGGGGGAAGCTATTAGCTCACAACTAGTTATTTTAACAGTTAACTTAAGTATTCTTAAGAGTAACAAACTCCCAAACCCACATTTTTGTGAAACCTGACACCCACAGTGGTGAGTGGTAGATCGTTCCCAGGTAACCTCTAACTCTACCTTTATTTCTTGCCCTATGGCCTACACGTCTTACCCAGGAATATACAGTACAGTCATATACCCGTGATAGACCTTTTTCTCTATAGAGATTTTGGCTTGTCATAGTGGGGAAATATTGATATTTTCCTACTGTGGCATATCAATGAAAAATGCATGTTGCTATTTTTAAGGTCAGGTTAAGTTGCTCTAAAAGTGAAACTTTTTATAAAAACAATTATTATGACACCATTTGTGTCCAGGAGGTTGAATCAGACCTGCCATTAGAACCCATGTAACTTTAAATATAATACTTTATATTTTATCTTATCTATTTTATTTTTAATTCTATTCTTAAGGTTAGGGATTTTAATTTTAGTCTAATGTATGTTTAATGTATGTTTTGTATTTTGTATGCTACTGGATACTTGAATTTCCCTCGGGATAAATAAAGTATCTATCTATCTATCTATCTATCTATCTATCTATCTATCTATCTATCTATCTATCTATCTATCTATCTATCTATCTATCTATCTATCTGATATAGATTCAAGTTGACAACTGTGTGAGGGGCTACCAACTATGAACAGCCCCTTTAACCCAACAAATGTTAGCGTTGCTTTGCCAGTAGATGGAGCTATGAGGTTATAAATGAGATCCTCTGCTTGCTCTGTCACAACTCTTACTGTTGCCATTATTATTTTATTTTAACACTGAGAGTTGTTGGGGAAGAGGAAGCTTTGTTGTCTGGCTAAGACAACTTAAGACATTTGTCACTTCTAGCTATCCTTTGTATAGAATTCTTAATACCGTACACATATAAATAACAAAGGCAGGTGTACAGTGTATACATGTCCATCCTATAACAATATCCCACTAACAAATAACTCCTTGTAAAGCTTCATTTTTGTTTTCAGAATGAGACTGGGAGCCAGGTTCCAATTCCCTGCACTGGATTGTATACACTGATGATATTGCACAATACGTATGAATAAAAAACTAATGAAAGTTTTGGCTATGAACTACGCAGTGCTTGTAATCCATCATGAACTCTCTTACCCTCCACTGTGAGTTTTGCAGAGCACGTATACTCTCCAACCTGCACGCTGTATGTGCCCTCGTCATCTAGCGCCACCTGCTGGAGGATCAGTTTGCGATAACCGCCTTCACTGCAGATCTCAAAGCGTTCTGAGGGCAGGATGACATTGCTGCCTTTGTACCAGCGGATACTGCATCTGGGGTTAGACACAGTGCAGTCGAGGATCACGCGGCTCTTCTCCAGGGCGGTTTTATCCTGAAGA